GATTTCTAGAAAACAGATTTAAGCGACATTATAAATAGTGTGATAAAGTAGTTATAACGTGTTTATCTACAGATTAGCTCGCTTATCAACCACGTTACCATTTCGCGTTCACATGTTTCACCATTCACCCGGCCACACCAATCATCCGGCCACCCCATTTCACACCATAAATCCAGAACTTTTTCATTAAACCTAATTAGCGCGACCTCTTTTTTCCTTTCCTAATACATCACAATCTACGAAATTCTTATAGAACATGCAATTTTGGACCCCGGATTGTGCTGGAATTTTTGGATCCCAATTTGCACTTTACCAATCGCTTCAAAAATAGGAAAGAAATGTTGTACATATAAGATTTGAATCATCAGGCTTTAAATATTATTATGTGGAGGTTGTTGGAATATCTGCCGCAAATCTTGTGATTTTTGGTGTGGCCGAGTGAGTAGTGAACCACGTTAGCTATTTGCGTAATTCCAGTATGAAACATCGCTTTGTCACCGCGCTAGCCAAACAAACACCGATTCAACGTGTGTTTTACTGTCTATGTGAGACAGCGGCGTTGCTACAATTTTCTTACTGCACGGACCATTTGTTTACGTGATGCACCTAGCTCCTGCACCACAGGAGGAGGGGTCACTACAAATCAGCCAACCCCAACCCAGCGCTTCCTGAGGAACTAGCATGTGACAAACTGATTGAACGCTGGGTATCTCGATACACTATATCTTTAGATACCGAATTGACAGACCGGGGACGGCTGAAGAAAGGAGGGAAAAGGTGAAAGTTTGAAGTACGAGTATTAATTGCTCATCATTGTCCCCGTAGTTTCGATCAAATGTTGGACAACTAGTGTTCTGTCTTCGACCTCGAAATTTACCAATTCTTGTGCGTTGAATTTCCGTCGTCTGCTTTGACACTGATGAAAAATGAGCTCAATCTCCGTTGTTTGTTGGTGGGTAAATTTGTTCATTAACTCAGTGATTCATTCCGAGACGACTTCGGGCTCACAATTGAATAGTTTCAAGATCGAGAATCAATACAATAGCTATCATTTGTTCGACCGATTAAGCGCGACTCCCATCAAATCTGCTTGCGAAGACTTGTAACACTAGTTATGTGTAACCCGGCATTCTTCTCCTAGTGCCGATTCCCTCGAAGATCTCACACAGTCTAGACGAAGACCCGTTTGAGGTACTTTCAAGTTCCCTAACTGATCCAATAGTTCTTCTTTCAGGTCAACACGTCTCAGCTGCCTGCATGAACAATACGAACTGCTGCAACTCTCATAATTCATTTCCTGCGTTGTCGAAGCATTCTTGATGATTTCGAGGAGGCTTTGGTTTTCGAAAGTGTCGTCACACAAGCGGATTCCACATTCCTTTAGTTGGCGAAAATATCTCGCCATAGCCCTGATGGATTGGTCGCATTGGTATTCCGCAAATCTGAACAGCGGCTTCATTAATGCCTTCGGAATCTTGATATATAGCTCGGCTCCACGGATCCTAAACTCCTCTAGAATATGTTAGCTTAGATTCAAGTTCGTCTTGAATGGTCCTAATTACCAAGAAGGTTGCGGTGAACAAGAGCGTGATCAGTTAATACGGGGAGGCTTGTGGGTGGATATCCTTGACGGAATAGAATTTGGGACGATATCACCAAGAACGAGTCCGGAAGGTCCAGAACGTAAGCGAATAGTAGTAGCCGACAAAGATCCTCGAGAGAAGTTCCATCCATCTCTCTCTGAAGCCACAGGGTTCCATAGGTAGTCATTGAGCTCGTGCAATCGTATTTGTCGCAGATAACAGCCAGCTGTTCTAGGAGCAAGGGAGTCGGATGTTGAGGGAGCTTGTGCGGTACGTAGTGGATGGCATAACACAAAATCCTGAAAGCTTCCATGTTGTCTTCTCGGAGGGGAAGGGCAAGAGGTCCATCGGATTTGTCTAGATGTGTTCCTTCTCGGAAGTGAGGTTTGAACATGGCTCGAAACACGGGAGACACCAAGCGAAGGACCTTAGAAGAGACGAGGAGGCTTCCCATCTCAAACTCCAAAAGGACATCGCCCTCAGGGTCGATCGATACTTCTGTGGCTCCGGAAAATTCATCCATCAGATCGAAGAGCAAGCAGATGGACGGTAGGTGAGGGTGCTAGAGGAGATATAACAGTCATTGCTAACTGAAAGCATAGTTCCCAATTTGTGGCTTCTATCACCCTATATATCCCATTTTAGGGGCCGGATAAAGTGAGTCCGTCAGAGGTAGCTCTAATTGAGTGAATTCTTCCTCGAATTATAAAAATGTGAAAAGGGGCAAAACTTGACTAGTCATGTAAGGTTTATCATCCCTTCACAATACAATCAAACACAATTCCCTTAGCACAATTGTCATGGAATGTTTTTTGTTTAAGGAACAAGGTAGTTTGGCATGCATACGTCTGATATCTAGGGACGCAATCTCCTCAACCCATGCTTGCGGCTTCAACTAGTGGTAGACATGCTTAAGAATACCTATCCTAATAAGTGGCATTTTTGTATGGAATAGTATGACAGGTGCGATGAAGACGCCTGATCTTGCTAGTAGCTAGCTCAGATACCCAGGCACTTGATCGATTCTATAGATCCTTGACCGGTCGTTATAATTGATCACCGAGTGCATTGATTCTGTTCTAATCTATCTGGTGCCGAGACTAGCTGTCTCAGACTGAATAATGAGTTACTAGAATTTTTCCAATAATAGATCACGGAGGTGGGTGAGCACATTCCTCATAGCATTTTGGTCGACAGTTATTAGGAAAAAAAAATCTGAGATGCTCAGGAGCATGATTCAATATTTCATTTCTCTACCAACATACACGTTCACCTGGTGCAACTTGATCAAGAACGATAAATTACTCACATAGATCTCGATCCATTGAAAATAGATCTTGCTGTAGTACTAGACTTAGGCTCTGTGGTGGACAGCCTGGCGTTGAGAGCTTATCGCATCCAGGTTCTGCCACATATCTCAACGGCAGAATCCATCTCTTTTTTTTTCTTTTCTTATAATTCGCCAGAAAACGATAGTCAACAGAGTTCAAGAAACAATAATTTTGATGAGTTCTTCGACAAATTTTTCATTACACAGTTCAATGTGCGCAAAAAATGCCAACGAATCCAACTGTAACCGCTTCTGACAGTAAGAATGAGGTCACCGATCGATCGACAGGCAATTTTTTTTCCACTGGTCATTGCGCTTCGTATAGTATAAAACCTGTCAGTCTAACAGTGGGTAGTGAATCCGTTGTCCATGTCACTATTCAATTGTCCGACTTCCGCGCAATGGCACCCCATTTGAATGTGGCAAGTGCGTTTTTCCCCACGCTCGAAGACTTATGCTCTGACAACAGGGAACGCTATTCTGTAGGGCCTTTATTAGCTTTGCCGGTGGAGCTAGTCAGAATTATCTGCGATCACCTAACCTACTCAGAGAAGATCGCTGTAAGCTGGACGTGCAGACACTTGCATGCAGCAGTTGTCCAGATGGAGGCAGAGAAACACAATCACCATATGAACGGAACACGCACTTATACTATGGAAGATCTCCTGGAAATCGAGAGATGGCCGTGCTACGACCTCGCCGGCAAACGCCCCGAAGGATTTCAACAACCTACTGCCCATCATGACTTCTTCGCCTGCAATTTCTGCCTGAAGATCAGGCCAGCTTTACAATTTTCGAATAGCATGATGAAGGGCAGTCGGGGCAAGCGATCTCACCTGGACTCTGGTGATCGGCGCAATCGTTTCTGCATTCCTTGTGGCGTTAGGATGGGCATATACAGACCAGGAACCTCTATGCGTTATGGCGGCAGTGTCGACCTTGGAGGCGGGTGGGGAGTTGTATGCTTGAGATGTAGAGAGTTCAGGAGACTTTCGGCTGATCCAGCGAATTGCGGCCTATGCATCAATTGTATCTAAGCTCCTCAGGGCTCCGTACACCAATTCACTTACGAGAGTAACCTAAATCATCACAAACGAGTTTATCACAACACTTGTCAACGCTGGTAGCCCTTAAAATGAGCTGAAACTTGGCCTGCTAATACTATCGATGTTATAGAGTAGAACCAACCAGGGAAAGCGGTGTGGCAAAGCTGGAATGCACCATTTGGCCAGCCCCTCGAACAACATCCGCTGAACGTCAACTTTAACTGAACGGCGTGATGCTATAGGCAGGGCGCTGGTACCATCTTGGGCTAAGTGCCTTTTCTATGCTCACATAATGCTGCCTGCTGCGAAATGACAAGTTGATAATGAAGTAAGTGACATGGATAGATAAGAAATCCCGGGGTAAGAATAGAAAACAAAAAGGATTGGTAAAAGAAAAACCTCGTTGAGCCGATGCTACTACTATTTACCCACCCACCTATGTTTATTCTCTTTATATATGTGTGTTGCTTTCGAGGACACGAATTAACGTGGGTTTCTCGTCTGTTTGCGATAGAATATGGGACCATTCATGGGCTAATTAATGCCTTGATGCCTGACTTGCTTAAGCTTTCTCTTTGCCTCGGTTATAGTATAAATGTTTATTGCGAGTGCCTCTCATTAGTTGAAACAATCAGAAATCGATCGTCAGCTTCGCGTACTAGTTCCCATTCTAAGGCTCGCATGACTAAGTTCCATCAACTCCTTGTCCATGAACTGCAAAGCCGAACTTACCGTCTTTTCTCTGCTGCCCGATTAAAATTAGTATAATCACGCAGATTTCTTGCTGGACAATATACTTTCACAGAACGCTAGAAACGATGATTCAATCAATTGCTAAAGATGGCCGGCTTCTGCATTCTTTAGACACAGTCATACGATGATAGTATGTAAGCAAAAGTAAATAGCGGACGGCGCATCGGAAGCAGAGATCCTTCCCATTCACGTGAGTGGACGGCTTTATTCGACGACTTTCGAGATTGATTTCAATGAAATAGATTGCTCTGCTACGCAATCTCCGTGCTGAGCACAAATGACACCATCTCAGCTCCAGGTTGCATTATACGCGACGACCTGGCTCCTCTGCCAGCCCATCAAAGCATCCCAATCAACACACGAATGTACGACGCCCCAACTTAGGCCGTCCTTCCAATACTCCTCAGGACTTCCCGGCGGTGAGTCGCTCTCAAACGTGAGGTAATCCGCACACGTGATGCTGAGCCTGAGGTACTCGAAACAGTGCTCTAGATGCCTGATCCAGTCCTCGTCGATGGGCGTCCTGGCCAGCGGGTCCGTCGCATCGCGGTGATAGACGAGCGAGTTGTAGCGCATGCGGATCATGTTAACGCAGTGTATCTGGTGCAGATTGTTGAGGACGTAGAAGTTGTTGACGTTGGCGGCGTCGGCGGCAGCGGCGGGCGGCTCGGAGAAGATGAAGAAGGGGGCGTGGATGCCTGGGTCTTGCAGACCGTAGCGGGCCGGCTCCTCGAGGTAGATGGAGTCAGAGCCTGTGTTTTGTTGTCGGTTAGAACTTTTTTTTTCTTTTTAGAGTGCAGAGAGGAAGAGGTAGTATGTATTTTTGCTTGCCTTTGGTCAGCTTGGCCCAGTTTTTATTGACGGTGTGCCCGGGCCCCATGTAGTCGGGGTTTGGGCTGAAGGGGACGTCATGGCGGTTTGTAAGGATTTTGCGGGGGATGGGGTTGTTGGAGTTAATGCCGAAACTTGACGCTGACTCTTCGCTGGCGGCCAGGTAGCCGATCAAGAGGCCGACGACGATATTCAAAAGTGCGATGGAGGTATAGAAGAAAATGTTGTAGGGTAGTCTACGGCGGGTGTTCGTAGGCGTCTTCTCGTCAGTCGGCAGCAGGTTGTCTGTTTGCTCGATTCCGGCGTAGTCTTGGCTTTTTCTGAAGAATTTGGGGGGTTGCATTGTGAAGCTGAGGAGATGAAAGAAATGCGCAGCTCCGGAAAGTATCCAATATCAGTGGGAGCAAGCCAGATACCGAATGAATGAATTGCTCATTCCCTTATTCGTTTATTTCTACTATTTCCTAAACGGATTTCTCTTCGGACTGTAGCCGAGCGTCGCATCCTTCACAAACCCCAGCCTATCGTCCCGGGGGCCGAAACGTCGGTCTCAACGTGTATGAGACAATCAACACGTCAAGCACTGACACGCTCAGTGCCATTTGTTAACGGCGGCGACGGCGGCGATCTGGATTTGGGGTTCCTGTGGCTAACGCGATGGCGAATACGATGAGGCGTTTTATGCAAGCTAGCCCGCGTGGAGGCAGGGGTGACGATCCACAACGCGGAGGGCGGAGGACAAGCATCAGCGCCTTAAAATATTAAAAAAAAAAAAAAAAGCCCAGCCCTCGACCCGTTGCGTCGTCACGTCGGACCGCTGCCTTGGCGCCAAGCGCGGACCCGCCATGATTCACATGGTGCT